CCATGAATGGAATAGAACAACATCATTTGCTGCCTTGACCTTTTAGCATTTCGTTTCAATAAGATTAAACTGCTTAAAACATCCTTCCTTAATGCAAGTTAATGAGTCAAGAACAAGCATGGAGACAAACCTGCATGTAAGCAGAAACTGCACCAGCGATTTCAATATATACATTGTATGGAAAATGGAGGTTGCTTGTCCCTCTTTTCCAAAACTGTCATAGAAGCAAGGAGCTACAAACATTCACGCTATTTCAGCGACATTTCCAGACAGCCGATCGCACCAGTAGCTGGAACCATCAGTAAACAATACACTGCTGCAGGGGTCATTGCATATAACTGGGTAAGTGTGTAGAAAAATACCAGAATGGCACCTTACACACAGGAGGCATTTTCTGGGGTCTTCGGAGGCACTTGGGAAATTGTTGGGTAAAATGCAAAATCTCTCAACACACTCTCTCCTCTGCTTTTCCAGCCAGAAGTGGAATAGCCGTTATGCTCCTTTTCTTCATTTTCTCTTCCACATTCTGCAGCCAAATAGCCCTCACCCTCATCCAGGGACTCCCCAGTAACTCCAAACACTTTGGGCAAAGGGTTAAGCTGCACCTCTATGTGTGAGAGGAAAGACTGATAAAAGTTCAACAACCCTCCCTCTGCATGGGCTCCAGAACAGCAGTCACAGCTGAGTCCTGTGATTTGGGGCAGCCGAGACAGGAACTGTTTGCCTGCTAAACCCAGAAAAGTGTAGCCATGACCTGCCGGGCACCAGGCTTTGAGGAGCCTGAGTGCAAACAGATACTCGCCTTCCTCTAGACTCTTGCAAGAAGAAAACAGAATTAAAAGGAAAATAGACATACAGGTTGAATTTCAGGCTCTATTATATGCTGCTTCTCCGTTTCTGCTGTGCAGCCCCACACGTGAAGAGTGACAGAATCGTCGAGCGGGCTCCAGCAGATCACCGCGGTGGTTTTGCTGAGCCGTTGCCCAAAGCAGTGCTGCTGCTGGGCATGACATGCTGGGACACTCGAGCAGGACTCAAAGCTGCCCTCCGGGTCGCTCTGCTGCACGCCGTCCTCTCGCCTAGCTACGGTTTCTCCAAAGAGAATGCTTTTGCCCTCCTACCTGGCAGTGACATGATGAAGTTGTCCCTCATGTACAAAGAGTTGTAACACGCTGCGTACTAAATGCCACAGCTCCTGAAGTGGCCGCTATTTCCAGGTATTTACAGCTGAATTTACTCTTCAGCTGCTTACTTTTAAGGCAGGGAAAGGACTGCGTTTTCTCTTAATCGCCTCCAGTAAAGGCTGCTGTCAGATTCTCTATGGCATTAATGCTCTTCAGAGCTCTGTGAAAGTCAATTGCAGGGTCCTTGTTTTTCCAGATATTTTTTCAGCAACACAGAAACCCCAGTAGTTAATTCTTTAGATCTTTCTACTATAAAGATGATACTCAGTTTGCTCACTTCCTAACCTCTCTGCTTCTCATAAGTCTGTCTGACTTTATTCTGCTGGTTTCTCATATTTGGCAGCAGCCAGAACAAATGGACATCTCAAAGACTAAAACTTGCACTATTGGAGAAACATCCTCTCTGGTCTTCCTGCTGTCACCATCACTTTCCTTTCCTTGGATACATTAGCATCTATGGCCAGAAATTACAGAGATGAGCTTATCTACCAGGTCTTCTGCCCTCTGTGTTCCTTCACGTGTAAAGCAAGGACAGAATTTATTTTTAACTTGGCTAATTTTTCTTTCCTGACCCCCTTACCACCTTACCCACTGCAGCTCCTGCCATTAGAAGCCATCCACATTATCCCTCTGGGGCTGCTGCCCAAAGTTCCCTTTGGATCTGTGAAGCAGGGCTATGTAAGTCTCACTTTTGTCACTTGTTCTGGTTGTCTTTGGAAAGAAGGTAAAGATACTTTCCTTATTCCCCAGCTACCTGTGGATCTATGCCATAGCATTACCCTTTGGAACTCTTACATGAGCTCCTCGAGTTCACGCTCACCCCAGACCTGCAGCTGTGCCCTGCCTTTTGAGATTGCCCCTCCAAGCAACTGAACCTTGCCTTTGGCCCTTTCTCCTTTTAGGAAATAGCTGCTATCTAAGTGGCTGTTTTCTGCCTTTTTCTGATTCTGAAGTTTAGGGAAATTATGTTTATGTGAATGTATTCCATAAGGTGTGACCTGTGTTCTGACATTGTTTGCAGGGTTTTTTTCTGAGCTTACAGTAAACCCAATTTCAAGGGTCAACTTCTATTTAAAAAGCCTCCTGCTGTTGTTTATATTTTAACCACTGTGCTAACCAATGTACCCTGACTCTGAAATAAGATCTGATAAACTTCCACCTATGGTAGGCCTCACAGTGGTCAAATAAATGAGAACAAACACCACAAAACCAGAACTGGGGAGAGACTTGGACACTGTGTGGATCTATGAGGGAAAAGAGGAAAGGAGGAAAGGCACAAAATGAGATGGATAAGCCAACACTTTAAAAGAGATTCTTTCAAACACGATGCCTTGAGAGGTCACATCCTTGTCACAAGGCAGCAGTGGGGAGTGCCAGTCGGGCAGATGAAAGGCAGTTCTGTTTTGACATTCTGTTGTGGAAAACTGATAGAATGAGCAATTTTTTTTGTACCAGGATCAATTGCTGACAATATCCCCAAGTTCAGTTTTCCAGGATCAGATCCATTACGACAGAGATAATTAATATTTCTCCAAATCTACATTGTCATCTTTGACAGAAATGGCAACATAAGTTTTTTCTCCTTTCCTCATAAATAAATCCACACTGAAGTAGATGCATTTTAACCAGGTTCAAGGCAATGAGATTGAGAGAAGAACCGGACCCAGGCCTAAAAGTGGCTACTGCTATGTGGACTTTTAACGTGAGGAAATCTGCAAAAGAGACCTCGCTTACATGATTCATGCAGATAGTCCTAAACTATCCTGGACACATGTTAACACACCTTTGGCTACCCCAGTTAGCTCCTTTGGTTTTGAACACCTGTAGGAAAAGCTGATCTGATTAAAAGCTCTAAAACATCATGTTTATCAAAGAGTTTTACAAACTCATTTAAAACCCAAGGCTTTTCAAACCTTTCCTATGCAGGAGAAACAGCCATATGTAAACCATACATGCAGCTTTTCTCCTATACTTTAACCACCGGACGTGTACCATAATGCAGTAACCCAGCAAGTATCTCAGTGGAAATGGGAGGTACAGAAGGATACAGAAGGTGCCAGAGGTGCTGGGGAGGGCAGAGCTGTGCAGGAAACAAATTTTGCATCAGAGTAAAGAAAAAGACACTATCTGATAACACTTGATTGGAAGGCGGCACGGGGACCGGCGAGCAGGTGCTGGCTGTGGCGAAGACAGTGGCCAGAGAGTCATGGGGTGTGGAGCAGGAGAGAGGGAACCCAGGATCTGGAGTGAGAATTGAAAAGGAGGTTAATATTGTTAAAAACACTTGGGTCTAAACCAGACTTGAGTAGCTCTCAAAAGCCTGTTTGCTAGTGAAGCCTACCTTGTATTCTGCTCCTTCATTTTATCCTTCTTTCCCAAGGAGTAATTGTTCCTAAAACCCGACAAGCTCGATCCCACATACAATTGCACAGTGTCCAATCCCTTCTCTCTGTCACCTTTCAAGCGTTTCCCTGAGCTGAGTCGAGCTCCCACCATCTCTCCTCTTGGGCCCATCTGCTTTGCTTCCCTGGCCTAGCATTAGCGGTCTCCCAATCCCCTACGGGCATCCCACATTGTGCTGTTGTTCACAAGTTGCATTAAAACATCTTCGAGCACAGAAGACAACCAGATAACATGGTATTACAGCACCCTACAGGAGAAAAATAGCACCGGACTACAAGCAGGATCAGGTCCAGATTTTTCAGCTAATCTGTAAAATAGCAGATCATCAGGTTCCCATACTAGAATGCCTCTCTCACGTATTTAGTCCTGCAGCCCTAGCTTTATCCCAAGCCTTCAATACCATGAAATCCCCATATAAAGTAAGTGGGACGACAAGGAAGTGCATAGGCTCCCTGGTTTTTAGAAGGAACTCATCATTCTATGAACTTTCTGCCTTCAGTTACAGAACACTGAACTGCATGACCCAGCAGCGCCCATTCAAGCCTGTTTTCCTCATCCAATATTCAGCCCCCTCCTGCCTCCGGTGAGTCACTGGCACATTTGATTCCACAAGTTGTTTTGAAGCAACATCTGTGACCTAACAGGCAAGAGAAGCCATGAAATGGTGCTGCAGTGCAACTTTTCCAAGGCAAAGGCCGCTTGGGAAATGCAGAGTGAGCTGATGTTGAAATCAGGATGACACATGGATGAGCAAAGTCTGACACCCTCACTGGATGAGTTTATGCATGCAGTGTGAGGTTAAATATCTGGTGAGGAAGAACACTAAATAGCTATCTATGGGTCTTAAACCTAAAGTTATGCTATTACACTAAAACGAACTCTAAGTCTTACTCCCAAATAGAAGAAAAAAAGAAATGCTTAGGTCAAGGAAACATAGGAGAGAAGGAATTCTTTAATAAAAATGTGAAATTAAAGTATTTTACAGAATTAATATTATCTGGATCTGATAATTGTGCTTCCCCTGAGATTAAGTGGAAGTTGGTCCTTATAAATCAGTACAGGTATGTATGGCTGAAATTACCACTGGGACTCTAGTGTCAGGAGAAATTCAAACTCTGCCTGGACACATGATTTCCCATGCTTGCCAGCAACATTATTCCTGTCTATTCTCTAGCAAAGAAACACCTAACCATTTGAGAGCAAAACATGTCCCACAGAACAGGAGAGTGCCTTCGTATTTCCCAGCATCCAGTACAAGTGATTGAGTCTGATTTGGTAATCCACCCAACTCAAGGTTGTTTGAATGGCCACACCACGGCAAAGGGGGTCACAGCATGGGAGAATGATTAACTTAACCTACCTGCCTTGTTTGTTTGATGCCGCCTCACTCCAGTGCGAGTCAATAAAACTTTGTGCACCGACACACACAACTTCCAGCACCCGCCAGCTGGGCCAAAATGGGGATTAGCAAAGCTGCCTTTCTCTTTCTTTTCTCGCTCAGCTCAGGTAAGAGTCCTTTGCCTTCCGCTTGCCTGGGTGAGGTGGGGGCCAGGTGCTCGCAAGCTCCACTGGGTGAAGGTAGGTCCCCGAATCCCTGTGTCACCACTTACCTGGACGACGATGGATTTGGGGCTTGCTGGCCGGCGAGAGCTGCTGTCGAACGAAGCGGGAGCTGTGGTCGCTCCGGTGCTGTGCTCGTTAGAGACGGCAGAAGAGCAACAGCCTTGGTGTCTGCATGGGGAAGTAATGGCTCCCTGCAAACATGCCTCATGGCCAGAACTGGGGGCACCCTTGGAGAGCAGCCCGTCAAAGGCTTGCTGCAAAGGCATGGCTCTATCTGGGCTCAGCAGCCTCCTATCCTAGGGTTGTTTTTTCTTCTGTTGTTGCCAAGTACCATGATCCTTATTTGGATTGTTTTAAAATCTGTAAATGCGTTGTGAAAAACAAATTCAACAAAGAAAAGGAAAAATTGTTCTGCACCCTGGAGTTTCAGTCTTTTTCATAGGCACAACCCTTACAGGAAATTTTTCATTCCATGTGATAGGGAGGCCAAAATCTGGTCGGCGTTAGTTTCTGCAGTATTTTTGGTGCTGTAAAACTGTTTTTGTAGAAGGTAGTAGTACAAAATAATCTGAACACACAAGAACTGAGTAAGGCTCTTTACATATAACTTTGGGGGGTTAGTAGATTGTAACTCTTACAGAAATTTCAAATAAATATTCTCTGTCCTGAAAACTTTAAACTTCAATGAACTATGGGGTTCAGGTGGCACATCTTCTTTCAGGCCTTCTGTATAACTGTACAGCCTGTTGTGATTGCAGTTAAAAATACAGTTACGAGCGTGTGCCAACTCATATAAAAAAACCCAATAAAATACACAAGCATTTTATTTATTTTTATTTAGTTTTAAAATATAAAAAGGGTAACTGTTATAAAAATGTATGAGTAGATTTTAGCTAGAAATATGCCCCACCATAAAAATTCTAGATATTATTTAATGTTAAGAATCATCAATTAATTTAAATTCTAGTTTCTAAGCTTTATTTTTGCAGAACAGCCTCATTTAAATGAAATACACTTCCCAAATTAGTAAAAACTTTATAGAGGGGAGGAAAATACAGGGTTTGGGCTTTTGTCTTCAATACTTTGCTTTTGTTTGCCAATCCTTTATCAAATGGTGGTAAATATTTGCATTTCTGAATAAGGCAGTAATACATCTTTCTAACACTGAAAAATTCTGTAGACAGAGGAAAAATGATAGTAAGAAAATTTTCTGCAATTTTATTCAGCTTGCATATATTTTCTTTTTTTTTCTTGAAGTATTTTTTATGCCCTGACATGTAATTATAACAGAAAAGGGTAAAAAATATTTTTATGACCCAAATCAATTATAACCCTGTCAATATCTTAAAAATCAAATGCTGTAATTATAATAATAATATTATTGCAAAGTGTCAAGACAGAGCAGAATTGAAGTTGATGGAAGCTGTACCATAATAGGAATTCTTTACTTGTGTTTCTTGTCCTTGTGGAGGACATTGCAGCATCCCTATGACATTGTTTTAACCTAGTTTAATGTTTTCTCTCAAAACTCATTTCTTCTGAATGTCATTTTGGTTTTGATATTAACTGCTGGAATCAGTGATTCCTGTGCCTGCCACAGGAAATTTCATTGTACCCTTTTTCACTTTGTCCTTTTTGTTTTTTTTTTTTTAGCAGTTACCCTTTTCTTTCACGCGTACTGTTAAATTGTCAACCCCTGGGGCCAAACTCTTCCCAAGTCTACATGCAGAAAAAAACCTCCTCCAATAACTGTCCTGGGTTTGCAACGGTATGAGAGGAAGCATAACTTGGCTTTCGTGCCTATTTTATCAGTGCTGTCTCGCAGGTGCAAAACCGTCTTGAAGAAAACAGTCGACCGCAGGCTGGGCTATCGCTCAGGCGAGGGAAGGCAGCTGCGCCGGGAGCCTGTCTTGCGCTACTCGAGAGCCTTACCCAGGGAAGGGAGGAGCAGTGGCCCTCCTCAGCCTGGGGACCTTCCACCGATAACTTGGCTTTCGTGCCTATTTTATCAGTGCTGTCTCGCAGGTGCAAAACCGTCTTGAAGAAAACAGTCGACCGCAGGCTGGGCTATCGCTCAGGCGAGGGAAGGCAGCTGCGCCGGGAGCCTGTCTTGCGCTACTCGAGAGCCTTACCCAGGGAAGGGAGGAGCAGTGGCCCTCCTCAGCCTGGGGACCTTCCACCGAACACCCCCGGGGGCTGCCCAGCCACCGGCT